TCTAACTCGAATACAATTAAAATACGACTTCCTAAACAGAATAGTGCATGGAGACCGATGACCATGAATAGACAATACACTGGTACTGCCAAAAAGGACTTACTTGAGAAATACGTAGTCAATTAATCGACGTATGAACGAACGCAGATGAATGAGTTTGCCAAAAATTCTGTGCAGAATCGTTTTCACATAATCCCGTTCCCGTGGGTCTTCCGAATCAAATAATTGAATGAATTGGGTCAGAAAGTCTTGGTTTATATATTTTTTGCCTAACAGCGGTTGGAAATCTGGGGAACTGACGAATCGTAGAAATGTTTCGTAGACCAACTGAAATTAAGGTAGAGGAAAAGTGTTTGAGGTTTGTGGTCAGCTGGTCTCTGCTGTTATCTTTCTTCTATACGATCACAACAAATAAAACGTGCACAATTTCAAATTTCTTTTTTCAGCATTTTCATCAATTACTTACAGCTTAAATGAAGGCCTCGAATTATTCATAAACAAAACCAGAATAGTGAGTAGTGGAGGATTTGGTTTAATTTTAAATTGGAATTCATCGTGTATATAGCAAATTAAGCTTGAACTGAAAAACTGGGAGGCACTGGACAGCTGTTTCGACCTGGTTGGGTTTCAACAATAGTGCAACTCCATCGACCCAACTGGGGTCACATCATTACGGGTCTAAAAATCATCAGGGTCAATTGAGCTCAGCCTTTATCATTTTTGATTGATCAGTCTATCCCACACATATCTTGGAAGTAGGACAACCTTTCGTTCTGACTCATCAAACAACAGCAGTTCCAGTGGGAAAAAACTATTGATCATGCACTCCTATTGTCTACTATATCTAAGAATATGTAAACTTGTCATATAGTAGATTCCCGATCGTGTACCAACAGATAAGGGCTAAGTGTTCATCTTTGTCAAACGTACCTGTAAGTGAGGCCATGACGGTTCTAAACACGGATCCTCGTCATCCTCATCCAGTGCAGCTTCGGGATTTGTCAAATCCGGTCCATTCAGTACTCGAAATGCGTTTGTTTGTAGCAATTTGACCAGCCCGTGATAGATCGGTTCCGTCAGGCAGTTCTGATTCATTGTGATGTATTCGGCCAATTCCACAAGTGTGACACGTTTAATCTCTTTCGATTTCACTTGTCGCGTGACTTCATTAAAATCGAATAGAGTGCAACACATTCGAACTTTATCCAGAAACAGGGCTTCACGATCGTTTCCGGGTGTTTCTAAACAAAGGGCACAAATTGTGAACAATTCGTTTTCATTCACCCAGATTCAAAGCGAGACTCATCAGTCGATCATTTTCGTCCCAATCCACCGGGAAAGCGATCCATAAAACAAATCTTTGAACCTATCACAAAACAAGCCTCTATCAAACCAGGAAGAAAATCACATCATAAGTCTTAACTATAAGATCAGGTACACGTATTTCACTGATTCAAGGATTTCTATCTGCATTTTTTGGTTTAGTTTGTGGAACCGAAATTTGACGCGTGCAATCACGCCGGTACACTGTTACTGGTTGAGAATTTTGATGCCAATCAGCTTTGTCTTTGCTTTATTTTGATCAAACTGATTAAATTCACCGTCACCGAAGTGTTTTGAACTCAAGGGTTTGGGTTTCGAACTCCACCAGCGCCACTCTACTTTATTGATAAGTAGCTTCTCTGTCATATGGATCAATATCACGCTTATTCGGTTCGATACTCCAAATGCCCGGGTTTATGTTACCGGTATCCACGAGTGAATAGCTGGTTCTCGTGACTAAGGGGTTTACTCTGACTTTTGTTCATAACACACACATTCACACACACACATATAAAGAGATGTTTGACAAACAAAGTAATAAATGAATAAAAATAAACTCAATTGACTAATGAGGATACAGCAAGTGGGAGAGTTGAAGATAAAGCGTCACTATGGAGAGTTATATCTGTATTAGATGAAGCCCGGGTTTTCAGCGAATAAAGTTTGAAATCGAATGAAACTTCAAACCTGGACTTTTGAAATCTACTACAGAATAAGAAACTTAAGAATCGATCAATCAGTTTAACTTATACTGCTTAGGTTTCAGCGAAGTTCCAGTTCATATTTTAATCCTTTGCTTATGTAGGAAAGCAGCAGTGTTAAATTTAAAATAATACAATAATAAGACTCTAAAAAGAACATTCTTTGCTTTTGCCTTTTTATTGCATTGTCAGACATTATTTTATTCGAAATAATTCATGCCCAACTTGATAACCATTCATTCACATGACTGCTTTTAGAAGTTGTTTCTATTGCGCACACATCAACAGTACTGTGATTGATGACTGGACTGGACTGGACTGAACCGTTTATGGGATGTACTTTCTGCTTATTCATTATCGATCGCTTCCCGTGATTAGTACAAAAGCTCGATGCTTGAGGTGTTTTATGTAAATTAACTCTCAGATTTCAACGAGTTCAATGACAAGTATCGTCTATAATGGATTTAAATTCGAAGACCAACTAACTCATCCTTAGAGGAACACGATGCCTACAAAAAAGGCTTGGAAACTCACACTAGATGATACAATAGTTGATAAAAAAATATGTGAATCGATAAATAAGCTTCGGGCACTATCCAAGACTTCGATAAAATATTTGTATAACAAATGCTCTAACTTCGGATTGGTACTGTTGAAGAGCGACACACTTTACAGAATTGTTGAGAACTCCATTTCGCCTGTTCTCTCAGCTTGACAATTTGTTTGCAAACGTTTCATCACCAGCAGAGGTGACACCATCAGTTTAATGCCAAGTGAAACTCGGTTTGAACTACTGGTAACAAAACATGCGTGATTTATTCACGCGTCTTTTAGCATTGAAGCTCAAAAAAGATCGCATCATAAAACTGCATTTGTACTTGGAATGGTTGAGTAAGCTACTTATCACGACTTGAGTCAGGAGTCAGTCAACCGCATGGATAGGTTTTATCAGACAAACTTTATTTTTTTGATTTATTTCAGAATTCTTTTCATAATAATTCCGAATGTTAAGCAAATCATTCATAAACAAACCGAACTATATCAGAATGCTTCATGCGTTTCATGCGATTGTCGTTACTAGATTCCAATGGTCCACAAATCAGTCTATAGAAATCGAGCTCGCAAACCCTTTGTTCGTTCTTTGTGTTTTTAGGGGCGCACCGTACTCTCGTGCATTGTTATGCATATAAAGAATATAGGTGAACTTCATTTTATCACATGACTTCGTTGGACTGTTTCTGTATCCGCTTTGTGAGACCGAAAGAGGGAGAAATGCATGGTACAAAAGGACGTACCTAAATCCAGTAAATCAGGATACAGCTATTTCCTATGCTTCTTGTCCTATGGTCTTCATATTCATTGATCTTGTAAATATGATTTTAGCTGTGCAGTGCAGGGAAGCAATCAAGTGAAATGTTTCTCCTAATTATTTTAATCACTTCCTTCTTATTAAATTTTTAATTTTTCTTTTGTTATTAATTATAATAGCTTCTATATTTTAGTTAAAAATATATAAATTAAAGAACAAAAAAAGAAGATTCAAATCCCAAAACTGTAAACAAAGTTTGCAAAAGCTGTTCTTCGTTAACTAGAATACGTGCTAATGAGGGTACCATAGAGCTACGATATTTGTTTTTTCGAGAGGAAATAAAATCGTATTGGTATCTAGTTAACGGATGGGAACAACAGGAAGTTAAATCTGTATGTAGTGGATGTGTTGTGTGGATAGGAATTTCATGTGCAAACTTTTCGCATGCATTTATATGGCGCTCGCACAGGTTAGTTACCAACTCCTCCAGGGGGGATTGAACAGATGGGACTGACTAATGATGACCAATCCACGTCAAAGCCGTTTAAAATCTTTGTTTAGGAGATTGGAAGAAACAACAGGTGAACAATAAAAACGGAGAAATCACACAGGTACACAAATTTGGAAATAATTGCTTTTGAATGCAGAAATGACAAAATTGACAGATATGAAAAGAAAGTCATCGAAGCTTACTGACAATATATCAAATTCAATAAGTCCAATGTAAATAAGCATCGATGAAAAAACCCAGATATTTAATACAGTTTACCTGGGATATTAGTTTACAGGCAATCGATATCGGTTCAGATTGGATAGAAGAACAGTATAAAGTAAAGAAACATTCAAAACATTTGGAGTCATTAAGACACAAACCGGATGTTGTGCAAAATTGTTGAACGTTGTCAGAAAATTGTGAAAAACAAGAAGAATAAGAGATGGCCTGAAATAAAATCACGTCGTCGACGTATTTGAAGAGAGAAGTAAGGACTGTGGCAGAGAACCTCCTAATGTATGTAGGAAGTTTAAAAAATAATGCTCGAAATCGGGGAAGCGACGAGTCTTGAGAATGTCATACGACAGAAAAACACTAGGAAAATTGCGTCAATATATTGTGTTTCAAATATAGAGCCCCCAAGGGGAATACTTTAACCTCTCGATTACATCAAAACAGTTGAAACTGTTGTTTATTCATATGGTGAATTTCTTTGTGTATAGAGCAACTTTAGCATAAACGGAAAAGCTCGAACGTCTCCGCGCTAGCACTCAGAGTGATGACTCGGTTGGAAATACTCCGAGCTGATTGTGGTGTTTGAATCGCAACACGCTTATAGTTGCATACGGGCTTTCCCCTACAATCTCTATACTGACTACCCCGTTCCCTCTAAAAGAAATTGATTTTAAATTTGTGATACACAGAACAGATAATAATAATAATAATAATAATAATAATAATAATAATAATAATAGATTTCTTTCATTCCAGATTCACCACCTTTAGTCCATTCTAATTCGATCTTTTTCTATTTTAACCGTATAAAACAGGCAGTGGCAAAACGTCTACCCTAAGGATGGATCTTTGCTTTAGATGATTTCTCTTGAATAAACGGTTTGCAACATAGAAGTGTAGTTTGCGAGGTTCATTTCTACGACGGCCTAATTCAACCGCCGATTCTACACATGGATCATACATTTACGCTTATGGATTTCATTTGAAACTTGGGC